AGAAAAAGCTGAAACTGGTCTTAAAAAATTATTTTCTGGGAGAAGTGCCAGCTGAAATGTCTTAGAATGACCTTCAGGAAAGATACAGGCCTAAACAGTAATTCCTTCCTTGTAGACTTGATGCAAATGTGAAGTCCTTTTAGAAATGACTATGAAGATGACATCAATGTGGATAAATTCTTTATACATCTAATATTGGTGGCAATTAATAGACTTATTTTTTCCTGAAGTGCAGGAAACAATAATGGACAAGTATGTTACAAAAATGAAGGTAGAATTCTATGCTGCACAAAAAGGTCAAGTAGGACCACTTTATGAATAAATCATGAAATACTTTCTGACTAGAATCTTGTTCCCCTTTCAAATAAGCAAAGAGAATCAATCCTTTTCTGACTGGGAATTCAATTCCACTCCCTGCGACAGAAACCCTCCCCCCTTGACTACAGAAAGGAAGTTATGCCTCTTACTCCCCAAACCTGGTTTTTGCAGAGAGATGTAAAAATAGAGAGTATTATGGGAAGAAGAGTAAAACTGTTGGCCATTTTATAAGGTTTCCCCTTCTAATGTGAAAATCAGAGCCCTTCTGCTTGAAGGGCCTGTGTACAGGAGAAAAAGAATCTTCAGACCACTGACTTATGGACTCTGTATAACGTGAGGCATTAGGAGCACCTGCACGGTGACGTCTGAGCTACAAGCGCAGCCATGGGCTCCCTCATTGAGCATGAGCAGAGGAGGAGGCCTGGCCTGGCCTACTGTGAGTTGTACGAACGATACACAGGGCTCATCATCTCCAAAGAAAGGAGCAGACCACAGAACACACTGCTAAAATTTAGATATTCTTGGAGAGTATTTTCTAAGGGGTTCCGTGAATAGCTTATTTCTTTTGAAAGACATCTGGGTGATTTAACTTTCACATGTAGAGTCTCTATCCATGGCTTTTGTATTTCTTTAATGGTTCCCCCTTTTCCTTTTTCATGATGAAAACTTCTCTGGAGAAAGGCCACTCCTCTGGCTGAGATGGGCATTGCCACCTATAGTCAATGCCACAAGGAGGATTGAAACAAAAATAAAGATTAGAGGATCTACTCAGTACTTCAGACAGATCTGTGTATGTTTTTGAAGACAGACACAGCCCCTGTAAAGCACAGAAAGACTGAAATATCTTCATGACTGTGGTATTAAGATGACTTGAATTTTTTGAACATACAAAATTACAGCTTTCTGCTGAACACACGCCACTTTGGCATTAGGATGCAGAAGAAAAAAAATAAACAAAAGCATCTGAATGTTTTTTTCCCCCTAGTGCATAATTCCAATTATTTGCAACATTTGTTGACACTGCTAAGATGCCCAAACTTGCTCCCATACTGCTTAAAGGCAGCACGGAGGCTCAAGAGGAGGCAGTGGGGGTGCTGTAAGGGAATCGACTGCATACACCTATGGAGAGTGATAATATATCAGCAAACACCTGTAACGGGTGCCATTGCAAGATGGAATTACTCCAGAAATGGAGTCAGCAGG